CGCCCTCTAGGGCTATCTCGAAGCTGCAGGAGGCCTCTTGAAGGGGAACCAGGGCGTGTTGGTATCTTGGGAAGGCACTAGAGCGCGATACAACACGAATGAAGATTAGGATCATACTGTTGATGATGATGATGACGACGACATACTGTCTCTTGGGAGCATCTTGGGCGTCTCCCAGGCCCTCCTTGGGCCGTCTTGTGGCTCTCTTAGGACCTCTTGGGGCCCGCCTGGGCCGTCCTCAGGCTCTCTTGGGAGCCTCTCGGGCCGACATGGCACAATCTCTGGGGGCTCTGGAGCTGTATCGGGCCGTTCTTGCCCGAACAGGCGAGGCGCTGGAAAACCTTCATAAGCCTAATGGCAACAATGGTTTATTCGTCCTTCAGCACTTCTGGGGGTCCTCTCGTGTGCCGCTTGGGGTGTCTTGGAGGCCTCTTGGGTTGTGCTGAGGCCATCTTGGGCTATCTTGGATCGCTCTTGGGCCGTCTTCGGTCCCGTCTGGGCCTCTCTCACGCCGTCTTGGACGTGCCTTAAGCTGGCGAGGAGCTTATGCAGGTAGGGCGGGGCCAAGGGCGCCCCCCTGGGCGGCGAAAGCCCTACTTTAGTTGTTTGTTCCGCTTGGACCGCCCATCGGCGATCGGGGGGGGGGTCTTCGAGACCTCTTGAGCCGTAGCCGTATTGAGGCCGTCGTGGGCTATCTGGATCGCTCTTGGGCCGTCTTCGGGCCCGTCTGGGCCTCTCTACGCCGTCTTGGAGGCCGTTGAAGCCGTCTGCATACGTGCAGATGCTCGAACACGTCTTGGGGCCGTCTTGGGGGTTTCTTGGGCCATCTTGGGGCGATCTTGCAGGCCTCTGGCCTCTTGGGTCGTCTTGGAGGCATCTTGGGACGTCTTGGAGGACGCTTGGTCTCCCATGGGCTGTCTTGAAGGTGCCTCAAGTTGACGAGGACTTTACGCGCTTACGCGAGTCCTACGCGGAGCTTACGTTGCCGCCCGTCTCGGGCCATGGTGTCAAGAACTGGTTACGTCACCGCTCTCTGTTGGGAGCCTTGGTCTCATCAGCTTGTTTGCGTCACTGCTCGCTCCTTGGAGCCGAGGTGTTCAGGGTCCATTGACGGTCCGTTTACAGGGAATTATCTTCTTTGTTAACGGTCCGTTAACAGGGAAACCCGCGTCCGTCACCCGATTTTCTTTGCTAAGTCTCTGTTAAGGGCGCCGTTAACAGGCAAAAATGCCCGAGCGTGTAACTTTGAGTTTTCCCTGTCAAGCATCCGATTTTCCTTGTTAAGGGCCCCGTTGACTTGGAAGGGCCCCGATTTTCCTTGTTAGGGACTCCGTTATCAAGGAAAACATGTGCCCGAGCGAGACATTTCCCTGTTAACGGTCCGTTAACAGGGAAAAGCGCGGGCCAGTTTTTCACCCGAGTTTCCCTGTTGCGGGCTCCGTTAACAGGGAAAATGGCGGGCTATTAGATCCTGGGGCCCGGGATGCCACCCCTTCAAACTCCCCCTAGTTTCATTTCTTCCGACTAACAGATCTCCCGCTACGCTACGCTACGCTAACCCTGGTCGGAAACCGACCTAATCCAACATGTTCCGATCCATTTGGCCTCGTCCCACAAAATCCGTCGCAATCCTCTTTAATGCGGCTGAGTCCCTGGCTTTATACGGCCCATTCAGGCCTCAATCGGGCTTCATAGCTATTGATAATTCTTACCCATACCCCCGACGTCATAATTTGCTCAGAACGTCGACCCCCAGAGGGCTCGAGCTAGTCCCCGGGACCGGTTCCTCATCCCGAGTCGTTTTGTTCGCGGTCCCGAGGCCCAGTCAGGTCCCCCAGAGGCCGAAAATGGGGATGGGCCTTCCGCCGCGATCTTCTCATGACCCGAGGGGTTTGCTGGGCAACTGCGAAGACCTTCCAGGAGGTTGCCTCCTCAAAGCTCCCCCCTCCCCGCGGCGGCAGGAGGCGCGGCACCTGCTGCCTGGTCCTGCTCGGGAGGGCCTCCGGCGAGGGCCGCGGCGGGGGCCTCTGCGGAGGGGGTGGGTCACGGGGGCGCGACGCCGCCGAGGAGCGACCGGCTCCCGAGGGACACGCCGAGCATTTCGAGTAGACGATCGGCCAGAGAAGTGATGTGCGACAGCTTCGTGTTTTTTATCTCCCCGTTGAACCTACGGGAATTAGAATACCCCGTCGATCTATTGAACGTACAACGTGCTTTCCGTCGATTCGAAAAACAAGAAAGCATTCTGGGGGTACATACATTTTGTTGTCCACCCCCTACTCGAGTACCAGGAGAAGCGATTAAGAGCCCCCATCGACGTATCGTTAGCACCAAAACGAAAATAGATCATCCGTGGGGGCGGATTCATGGGAGCGATATGTTTGGCACCGCGCCACAGCGTGACAAAGACCCCCCGCCCGTGTGCTCGCCGTTTGGGCTGCTGGCGGTGCCCGAGCGGCGAGCTGCCTTGTGATTCTCTGCTTCGGCTCCGGGGGCCAGTGGGCGCCAAGTGCCAGGCTCACGCTTCAGGGTGCTGGCTGCGTTATCCTCGTCACCCGAAGGGGGGGGGGTTGTTCATCGCTTCGCACGATGGGTTCCGAGGACCGCGCTGCATCGCCGATGCGTTGGCAATGCGACCGATGTGGAGCCAGATTTTCTCCACGCCGACGGCGTCGATGCCTCGGCGCAACCTAGCGTGTAACCAACGGACATAAACATACGTTTTCGGAGTTCCGCGCGGATTCCCCAGGTCTGCGCTGAGCACCCCTTGGTGGCGTTTCCAGCGCCGCCATTGGCGCTCTCAAGACGCGCCAGGAAGGGGTCCAGCGCTCATCCAGGAAAACCGCGCGGACCTCCAGGAGTGCATGCGCATAAGAATCGTTCTTCCTCTGCGTTCCTCGTGCATTGTGCTGCTTCTCGAAAGTCAAACCCTAACACATCTGAGCCCGGTTCGCATTTGGCGCACGAGGAGCTTCTGCTCTTCTGCTGTCACGGCGAAACAGGAGTTGATGTTTCCTCCAGTCGTTCCTATCCGCAGCGCGTTGGCACCTGAGTGTTCCCTCGCGCCCTTTTATTGGCTCGCTCTCGTGCGTGCAGGGTGCCTTCCTCTGGAGAGGGGCCCTGAGGTTTCCCGCCGTTGTGGGCCCCTGGGGAGTCCTCTGCGAGCCTGAGGGCCGCCCGAGAGCGCGCCAGCGCCAGGCTTTTCCTCCTCCTCCTCCTCCTTGCTCCCCCTCCTCCTCCTCCTCCTCCTCCCCTCCTCCTCCTCCTCCTCCTCCTTCTGCTCCTCCTCCTCCTCCTCCTCCTCCTCACCCTGGCCACACGTCTTCGAAACATCGCGTCATAAGCACAGGGCCCCTGCTCTAGCATCGGGTCATGCGGCTCTGCGTCAGGGACACCGTGAAGGGCCCAGCGGCCTGCGCCGCCGACCCAGAAGGACGACGACGACGACCACGACCACAACGACGACCACGACGACAACGACGAGCTGATGACCCTGTTACAGGCTCGGGACATGGGGCGGGCGGTGGAGGGAGGAAGAGGAGGAGGAGGAGGAGGAGAAGGAGGAGGAGGAGGGAGGAGGAGGAGAAGGAGGAGGAGGAGAAGGAGGAGGAGGGGGACGATGAGGAGGAGGAGGAGGTGGAGGAAGAGGAGGAGGAGGAGGGGAAGGCGGAGGCGGAGGCGGAGGGGGAGTGGGAGCAGGAGGAGGAGGAGGCATCGCGTCACGCGCCACTGCGTTAGGGACATGTTCGTGTCTTGCACTGCGGGGCGCCGCGCGCTAGCTCATCTTTCGCGCGGCGCGCTGGCTCATCTGTCAGGCCACGGTTCAGTGCATGAGGTTGCTTGTCGCAGGCTGGCTAGTGTGGTGTTCCCAGTTTGCCTGGCGACTTTTTGATTCGCACAGCGGTCGAGGTCAAGTTTGGTGAACAGCTCTGTGGTCGCGCTCCCTCCTCTTCTCAGCAACGGAAAAGACAGGGCCCCTGCTCTGGTTCGGATACAAAACCTGTGAGGTCAAATTCTTTACGCTTCGCGCATCCCCGTTAGATTTTTGTCCCCACCCTCGGCGCTGTTTCTCAGCCTCGGCGGTTGCAGCACGGCCCCCGGCGCAGCTGGTTCCCCCGGCGGTAGGTCCTGCGTTCACCTGCGCGCGCGCCGGCAATTAGCTCCGCTCGTAGCCCGGGCCGACTCGATCCGCCGCTGGCGCCTTCGCTTGCGGCTGCGACAAAAGAAGTATCCCCGTTAGATTGGCGTGCACCTCCGGCGGCTGCTAGCTGCCGATGGCACCCCCTCCGTGAGCGCCGCGCTGCCCGCCTCGGCTTGTCTCACCTCCCGCTGTTCTCCTGTCGTTTCTCTTCTCCTCTCCCTCGTGTGCAAGTTCGGCTCCTGCTGGTTAGCGGTTGCTCTGGACAGCGCGCGGCTCTGCCGCTTGCGCTCGCGATCCAAAAAAACATGCCGTTAGATATGTTCCTTTGTTCTTCTTTTTTTCCTCTTTCTCTATCTCTTTTTGTTTTCCTCTCTCTCTCTCACTCTCGTGTGCAATTCAGGCTTCTGCTTGTTAGCTGTAGCTTTGGACGGCGCGCGGCCCTTCCGCTTGCGCTCGCGTAGGAAAGTATCCACGTTAGTCCGGGACCCCCCTCTGGCCCAAGGCGTCTCCCGGGGGGGGCCTAGCCTTGATTCCGTCACATTACATTTGCAGCGATCAGCTGTTCCAGAGGTTCGCCATCGCCTTCCCCTGTTTCACGGCTTGCAGCCGCCCCGCGGGCAGCCCCACACGTGCTGCCCCTGGTTTCGCTGCAGCCCCTTGCCGGCGAGAGGTGGCCCCTCCTGCTCAGCATGTGCAGTCAGTCTGCGTGCGCTTGCCCTCGCCTCGGGGCCTTCGACCCGCCCGCTGGAAGGCGCGGTGCGGCCGCAGCCTGCCCGACCCCGCTTCCTCCTCGCACTCAAATCTTCGGGGGAGGTCCCGGAGCGGCCGTAGCCCGTCCGTCCTCCGTATCTTCTTCGCGATGCTTGTCTCCTACGTGTCGGCGTTCATTTGAGCGTTCAACACAGTACCTGGAGGCCGTTTTCTTTTTCGTTTGCTACTTCCCGCCGTTCTTGTTCGTCTCCTTGGTGATTTCAGTACTCCTGCTGCCCGGTCGCTGTTCTACGTCGTGGAGTCTTTCTGGGTTCTGTGCTTCGTGTTCGGCGACGTACCTGGGGAGTCGTTGGTCCGTGTCGCCCGTTATGTCACCGCCGACCTGGGTAATGTGGCGCTCCCGCCGTGGTCGCAAGCGGGGTCGCCTTCCATTGACTGCGTCGTGTTCGACACCTACATGCGCGTGGTCCCGGTGCCGCTTCGTGATGCCGCCCGCGCGATTTTGGCTGCCCTGAGTTCCGTCCCGCTCTGTGTTCGGCGCTGCTCACCGTTATGTTGTTTCCTTAGTTTTTGGCGCGGCCTGTCCCTGTTTGCGCGGTGTTCGGTTCGCTTTCCGCGCCCGCGTACCATATGGTATCCCCATTGGCTAATCCAGGCACGATCGGAGGTTTTCGTGAGGCCCCCTTGGAGGCTATCGCGTGCCACGTCCAGCTAGAGGCTGTCGGAGGCTGTCCTGGGCCACGCGCAGCTTTCTTTGACCGTATTGTGGGTGTCTTTTTGGCCGATTGTAGGTCTGCCGGGGCCTATCTTAAGCCATGCTCGACTTCGTGGGACCACACATTGGGTGTAGGAGGAGAGGCAGGAGGAGGAACCGAAGCAGGAGGAGGAGGCAGAGGAGGAGGAGGAAGAACAGGAGGAGGAGGAGGAGGAACATGAAAACAAACTAATGAGGAAAGGGGGGGAAAAGGGGGTCGGAGGGTGGAGGTGCAGGAGGACGAGGAGGAGGAGGAGGAGGAGAAGGAGGAGGAACATGAGGAGGTGGAGGAGGAGGGGGAGGAGGAGGAGGAATGCGGCACGAGGAAATTGGGTAGGAGGAGGAGTAGGAGGAGGAGGAGGAGGAGGAGGAGGAGGAGGAGGAGGAAGAGGTGGAGGAGGAAGAGGAGGAGGAGGAGGAGGAGGAGGAGGAGGAGGAGTGTGGAGGAGGAAGGTGAAGGCAGGAACGGAGGAGGGAAGGAACGGAGGATGACAGGGATGATGAGACGTCGGGCTTTGGACAGGCGTTGTGATGAGACGTTTTTGAAGTGCGACGAAGGCCATCTTAGGGTTTGTTGGGGGATTTGGGGCCCTCTTGGGGCTCAGCCTGGGGGGTGTGGAGCCCTCTTGAAGTTGCTTGGAGGGATCTGGGAGGCTTCTTGGGGCTTGTTGGACCCCATGAGTCAGAAAGAGGGGATTGGGAAATTCAGGCTCCTGCCTGGGAGGCTCAAACATGGCGTGTTGAGGCCCTCTTTGGCCGCTCTTGGGGCGCTCTTGGCCGCTCTTGGGCCCCATTGGGCCCCTTTTGGGGGGTCTCTTAGGCCGTCAAGGTTTTATCGTAAGGCCTCTGGGGCCTCTCGGAAGCGAAACGGCGAGAGGACCAAACACCCAAATTATCTTCCGGTTTGGGAGCCAGTTTGGACTCTTGGGGGGGTCATTGGAGGGCTCGGAGGGCACTTGAAACCGTTTTGGGTCCGTCTCGAGGTCTATCAGATATTGTTGGAGGCTATCTTGAGCCATCTTGAGATATCTTGAGCCATGCTGCAGGCCATCTTGCGCTTTCTGATGCCCTCTTGGGGCCATCTTGGGCGATCTTGGGCGCTCTAAACCCTCGGGGGGCGAGGGGTAGACCCTTCTCCCCCGAGCAGGGGAAGTCAGGGTTTGGGATTGCGAAAGGGCTGGTGGTTTTCTGATTTTGCCCTGGTCCGAAATCCGATTTAATCGGGCTTTATCCCGTCCGATCTGGCTCATTCCCGCGTAATCCAGTTCAGTCCCGCTTAATCCGCGGCCTAATTTGTCGCAGCAGCCCCCAATGGGGGAAATTCCTTCTTTTATCCTTCCGACGAAGGCCTCCCAGTAGTTGTTTTCACATTCTGGCAGCGAAAGGCGAAAGTCCACATCAGCTGTGAGCGGCTATGCGGTCAGCGCCATCAGCGGTTCTAGCTCGCTGCGGCCTCCCGCACGCGTGTGGTTCTTCGAAGCCGACGTGGCGCACGTCACGGCAGGCGGCACCCACTGGCAGGTGGGCACGGCACAGAGGCCAGGGCACCCAGACCCCAGGGCACCCAGACCCGGAGGATTCGTTGGCGTAGCCAGTTCGCTTTCTAGTTGCGGATTTGATACGTATAGATGCGCATCTGTTCGCTTCGCACCCTCAACGTATCCAGGATTGAACACGAATCCCGGGGAAGTGGTCCAGAGCTCATGGGGGCCTTCTTACAAGAAACAAGACATCGGAGGTTTTGGGGTGTCGGGGGAAGGGGAGACGACACCTTACCTGAGCTCTTGGCGTGTGACCTTTTTCAACGGGGAGGTGTATGGTCGCGTTTGGGCTCCAGGACGATGACATATCGATCCGACTTGAAAAACCTGCGCATCACGGTGGGGTCTGATGCTCTGGCCATGATGTGTTTCATCCCTCCTTCGACGGGAGTTCCAGACATGCTGGCGCCGTGAACAAAATCCGGCCGGGATGGCCTTCGCAGCTGGGGGCCCTCGCTGGGCGCAGTGGACTGTCGAGAAAAGACTCGGGGCGAAAAACTTGCCTTGGGAAGCGAGCCGGGTTCTCTGGGAACCATCGCGCGCGAACGTGGGTGCCTCGGGAAACTTGCCGTGCTCTCGCGCCATGGGCCCCTGTGTCCGGTGCTGCCAGAGGTGCCCGCTGCTTCCAGGGAGGCCTTCACGGCCTCCAGAACACCTCTCACGAGGCACAAAGAGCCTCAGCGGCTCCAGTGATGAGCCTGTTTTCCACCACCACCATAAGTTGGAGGGGGAGGGGGTCCTCCTCCTCCTCCTCTTCCTCCTCCTCCCTCCTCCTCATCCTCCTCCTCCTCCTCCTCGTTATCCTCCTTCCCCCCTCCAACTTATGATGGTGGTGGTGGAAAACAAGACCATCATCCAGAGCGGAGCGAAGAGCTGGGAGCCCCTCGGGGCAGGGGCACCTCTGGCAGCCCCTGGCCGTGCCAACCATTATCATGGATGATGGGCCTGGTTTCCACCACCACCACCATAAGTTGGAGGGGGGAAGGAGGAGGAGGGTAAGGATAAGGAGGAGGAGGAGGAGAGGAGGAGGAGGACCCCCTCCCCCTCCAACTCATGGTGGTGGTGGTGGAAGACAGGCCCATCAATGGACCCGCCGTGGACCGCAACCATCCAGCTTTCGCACTGAAGACCGCAGGAGACCGCCCAAGACCGACGAAGGCGGTCAGGAGACCGCCGAAGACCCGAAGGCCTCCGAAAGCCGTCCGAAGGTCGCCGAAGACGGTTCAGGAGCGATAGGTCACAAGGGTTCCATGGTCGAGCACGTAAGGGACCAAGTACTGCACAAATCAAGACTTGGCATGTTTGGACAGCGGGAGCCACCACCAGGAGGGCCGCCTCCAGCGATGGGGTCCACAATGCTTCCCTGGGCTGTGGATGGGGGATGTCTCGAGCAAGAGGGGAGAGAACACATCAGCAGGAGGATCCTCGCGCTTGTGGTGTTGGTGTTGCCTGTCCTTTCTCCAGCCTTGTGAGAGCCTGGCGTCGCAATCTGCTGTTCGCGCCTGGCAGTCTCGTTCCGCTGCCGGGCCTTGGCGCTCTCGCGGGCCTGTTCGGCTCGGGAAGCGCCGCCGCAGAGAGGTGGGATCGTATTGGGAGACCTGTCGTTGTTTCCACGATGCCGTTTTTGGGTGTTGTGTATGTTGGGTCGGCCCGCTCGCTCGGCTCCCAGCAATGACCTTGACCACCCCAGCGTAGACGCCTACGCATCATCGTAGCCTGCCTAAGTATGGCCATGTGGATGCCTAGGCATGCCACCGCTGATGCCTAGGCATCCGCATGGGTGTGCCTACGCATGCATCGCGGGGAGGGATGCGTCCATGGGCGTAGCTGGACGTAGCTGTGCGTAGCAGATGCCCAGGCATCGAGTTGGCGATGCCGAGGCATCGGCAGGGGGGTCCGCAGGTAGGCATCCATGGTTCAAGGTACCAGAGCCCAGAGCCCGAGGGCCGTGCCAATGCGTGCGGTTGTTTGGTAACTATCCTGTGCTCTCGTGGAGAGATGAGGTCTATGCTATTGTTTCTGTGGTTGCGCGGATCTCCGCGACGGCCGATCGCCGAGGCGTGGACTGGGACGGGTGCAACCACCAGTTCGAGGCCCCCGCTCCAGGCCCCTGTCTTGTCAGTGTTTTCTTGCTGTCGTTGCCGTCGCCGTCGAGGTTTGCGGCGCCGGTCGAGATTGTTTGTTTATCCTCTGGCGCGTATCGGTCATTACCCAGGCCCCCACCCTAGGGTAACGGTAACGATCGTACGTACCGGGGGGATGGGCTGGACCCCAACCCCCACATGCTGCTTCCCGCGCGCATCCTATGGCGGTCGCAGCCCACACCCGTCCCGACGTGCCCCAGTCTGCCCACGCGTTATCGTTACCTGTCCCCCCCCCAGTTACAGGAAATATCTGCAAAGCAATATCATTGCCCAAATTTTTGTTTCAAATTTCGGCGCCGTTCATACTCAGCACCCCAGGACACAAGAGTATGCCCTCGATGCGAGCGAGCACTGCCTGGGGGGTTTGCCATGCGAGGGGTGTCTGGGGTGCGTTTGTGTTTGGGCTTTCTGAGTCCGCACATCCTCAGATTCCTTCGTCGAACATTGCATTGTGTTTTTGTTGCTTCCCGCACTCCTGCTGCTGCTGTTGTTGCGTTGCTTGCCGTCTGGCCCCTCCGTCGTCTGGCCCAGCCTCCCTTCCCTCTCCGGAAGCGTTCCGCTTGTGGGCCTCGCCATCGAGGGATCCAGGATTTGGCTTCCTCTCACTGGCGGAAGCTGGCGGAGGAGCGGCCGGAGCCGGTTGGGGTAAATCCAGGGCGGTTCTGTTGGCGGAAGGCCGGTGGAAGCCACATAACATCGTCTCAAGGATGCAAGCCTTCTTGCAGTCAGGGTTTCCACAACTAGCCACGCGTGATCGCCAGGAGCCATTCGAAGTGTTTGGGCGGAGTTGCCGCATGCGGCGCGCCGAAAGTGCGGAGAAAGGATTATCGCAGCGTGGCTTGATTGTTGTGACGGTGGTGGTGGGATTGTTGCGTGCCTCTTTCGATGGTCAGCCGAAGAAAGTCACCCTCAACTGTTTCGGACGATTGGTGGTACAGCAGGGCATGGTGCATGCATGACCAGTTTTTGTGACAGGGTTGGGGAAAGGCATGTGCTGTAATTGCCTCGGCCATGGCGGCTAATTGTGAAAAGCGGCAACAAGGGAATGTTGCTTTGGTCGGTCCCTCAGCGTGCGGGGAGATCTGAGATACCCTGACAGCGGCGGCACGACTTTCTCGAGAGATTCTTGACGTTTCGGCACAACCTTTCCGCCGTTCCCTTGCGTCCGGGCCTTTGGCCTTCTCCGCCTCGCAGCTCGGCCGGGGCTTTCCCACCGCTCCCCCACCGCTGCCCCTCCGCACCACTCGGTGTTTGGCGATCCGAGTTTTCCGTCGAGCGCCCGCCCGTCCTGCCCCTTTCCGTGTCGGGGGTCGCCGTCTTGCGTTGGTTCCTGGCTTTGTCCACGGCGTGTTGTTCGTCACCCTCTGGACCGCTGGCTTCCCGAATTACCTCCTGGTGTTGCACGTCGCCCAGCAGTTCCTCCTGGCGCCTGCGCTCCCGTGAGCGGCAGTGAGGCTCGCCTCCTGTTCGTCTCTCCTGCTCGCTCTTGATATCTTACCTTCGCCCTTCGCCTTCCTCCTTCGCAGCGCTAATTTAGGTCGTTGCCCGTGCGCAATATCCTGGACGCCGCCCGACCTTTCCTCGCCGCGGTCGCGATCAAACAAAAACGTCGCCCCACCAGCCCTGGGCCGGGCGCCGTTCGTTTCGCTGTCGTTTCCTTTGCTTCAGCGCGGCCCGCCTTGGCTTGCACGGCGTTCGGTTCGTCTTCGCGCGCCCGCGTAACAACAATAAACCCACCAGCCCATCCAAAGACGATGCCCACAGAAGTTGCCTTGATCAGGGAAGTAAAGAGCACGCGGGGAAATGGTCCCTCTTGGAGCGTTTTTGGCACTCTCTGGGGCGCTCCTTAGACCGTCTTGGGGCTCACCTGGCCCTCTCTAAGGGCCCTCAGATCATCTTGGAGCTGTTTTGACGCCTTGGAAGACACTCGAAAGCAACTCGGGGAGAAGGCAACACTCAATGATGCTCTTCAGGTTGTTGAACGCTGTTGGCATCTCGGGGGCCCTCGTGGAAGGTTCAGTGGCCACTTGGAGCCGTCTTGGAGCGGTCTTGGGGCCTCTTGGGTCATCTTGTGAACCATCTTGAGGCAACAGGGCCAGCGGCTTCTTGAATTCCTGCCAAGGTCTTCTCGGATGTGCCTTGGAAGTTTTTTTGGGGCCTCTTGTAGCGCCTTGGGGGCCTGTTGGCGGTCCCGTGGTCCTCTTGAAGCGTCTCGAATGTCTCGGGGAGCCTTTTGGGGCCTCGTGGGTTTTTGTTGGCACCTCTTAGGGGCCTCTTGGGCGCAGGAGATCGGTCAACAAAGCTGGGAGCTTCAGTTTCGAAACCTTCAAGCACCGCCACTTGGGCCCCTCCTTTTGGCGCTCTTGGGGCCGTCTTGGGGCTTTCTTGGGTTTCTTTTTGGGGCACTCATGGGCCCTCTTGGCGTTTTCTTGAGGCTTCGGAAGGCCATCGAACACCTCCTGGGGAAGCCCCGTGGCCATTCGAAGCCGTCTTGGAGCGGTTTTGGGGCATCTTGGAGCATCTTGAGAGCCATGCTGAACCATCTCAGGCTACCTTGGGCCATCTCGGAAGTCCTCTTGGGCCCCCTGCGGCCCTCCAACAGCCATTTTGGACCATTTAAACGCTCCAGCGACCCGCGACCCCACCCCTCCAGGTCCAGGGGAAGCTGGTAAGGTGGATGGGGTGAATCCCCCCCCCGAAGGGGAAGAGGGAGGGGCGGAAGAGCAAACGCGCCTGACGAGAGAGGCAGGAGGAGCGAGAGGAGCAAAGAGAGAAAGAGAGAGAGAGAGAGATAATGATATTGGTTTCCCGACCTCTCGACCCCTGCCCTCAAGGCTGGCGTTCCGTCCTGGGCCACATTGCGCTGCAAGTCGGAAGCCGGCTTTTGGAATAGGAACACAATGGTAAAACACATGTGTGGCTCGATTTTTCCGCCCCTCCCCCCTCCACCTCCACGAGCAATGCTAGGGGTCCTGGGCCTGTGGGGGAAAGCGTCGACACCCAATCGCCCATTGATCGCCGACGTGGGCGTGATAGCCCACACCGCCCAGCGGCGGGCGGCTTCGCCATCGAGGGCTTGTCGCTGATCTGTCGGCGATGTCTCGCCGCTTCCAGGCCCATGTCTCCCTCGTTAGAGCCTGTCCCCACTCGGCGTCGCCCCAACATGCTGATACTATATGCGCGTCGCCCCCGGGCGGCGATGCGCGCGCGCCGAGAAATCCCTTAGTATGAGTTCCGTGGCGGGCGGTGTCTTGCCATACTGTTCTGGAAACGTACTACAAGATAGTTGCACGAAATAGTCGGGTCGGACGCACGCCTCCAAGGAGGGCACACAATATTAGTATGTCTTTCTGCGCCCTTCCCCCACCCCAAGCGTCCCTCCTCTCAGCACCTGGAGCGGAGGCCGCTGGTTACACGCCTGCACTGGTCTTGGCTAGGGCGATCTCGCACCCGGGATGGCCCAGGAGAGGTCGCGGCCGCGACAGGCCTGGGTGTGTGACGTAGCCTTTAGCACATTTTGCCACCATGCTTCGGACAAGTACCAGGGGCAACGCGGAGGTCTCGGGGGGCATGTATCTGTAGAGGGCGTATTGGAGGGTTCTGGGCTGGAGGCGTCTTGGGGGCCTCTTGGTGGCGCGGCCCCCTGGGCGCCTGCGGGGGGGGGGCCCTTGTGGGGCCTCTTGGGGATCTCGGGGGGCACGTCGGCGCAAGAGAGCTTCTGGGGATTTCCGCTTTCCCTTCTCGGGCACAGGCAACATTGAGAACACGCAGGGCCGTCTTCTGGTTTTATTGTTTCTATTGTCTATTGGGACCGTTTGTTCTAGTGCCCTTGGCGTCTTGACGCGCTGCGCGGGAAACCCCAGACGTCACCCAGGACGCCCCCAGAGGTGCGGGAATGGGGGCCATGGGCCCCTGCATGTGTGTTCAGGTGCCTGCAGCCGGTCCGGCACCGCGTCAGCGAACCGACCTTTCGGGTTCAGACCAGAAGGCCGTCGCACGTGTTTGCATGTCTTGGGGAGCGTGACATATCTCGTTTGCACGTCTTCAGGAGCTCTCATGGAGGATGCTGGAGCCGCGTAGCCCCATTGAGCCATGTTGGGGCTATCTTCGCCGTCGAAAGGGTGTTGTGTGGCCGTCCTGGGGCCGACTCGGGGCCAATTTGACCAGTCTTGCCCGTCCAGAGGCCTTTTCTAAACGACAGCAAGTGACCTGATCTCCGAACGAAAAACTCGAGGAGGACATCTACCACATAATTTGTTCACTTACCCCGAAACTGTTTCGTCGCCGACACACTATACGACAGCATATGCACAATGGTTCCTATATTTAGAGAGCACTGGAAGTGTGTCTCGTCGATTCGACGAAATCGCATGGGGCATATACGTTGTAGTCGATCTCCTGCTCGAAGAACGTGTAACGTGAATTATTTGGGAAAGCGCACGGCAGCTAATATCGTGTCTCTCCGAGGGGCTCCTGGAGAGCGCGTTGGGGTGTACTTGGGCCTGCTGGATGCCTTTCGGACTCGCTCGGCGCTTCTTGGGGCCGTCAGGGTGCTTCTCAAGGCAATGCTGAGCCACCTTGGTTGCCTTGGTGGCCTTCTTGGGCCGTCTTGGAAGCCGTGGCGTGCCCTGGAGAGCCCCGGGGAGGCGTCGGGCCGCCCAGAGGGCCTCGGGGCACAGGGCCAGTGCACGCGAGCAACTGTCGACAAGGGGAGGGCTCGGCCTCCGAGAGTACAAAAAGCCTAGGAGACAGCTCGTGCAGTCCCACCACGCCTCGTCGTGCCAGGAGGGACGGTGGCGGATCACAATGTCGTGTCCCACTCCTCCTCCTCCCTCTCTGTGTCTGCCATAGCCTTTAGGGCTTTGCGTCCGAGGCCAGACGATGACGGGAGTTTAGGCTTCTCCGAGGGCGCTCGCGAGGATAAGCAATCGCCCACTTCTCGTCCAGGGTCCAGTTTCAATGGTAGCCGGAGCGTGACTCACGAGACGGGGACGCAAGCGAGCGTCGCTGATTGTTGGCCCGCGGATACGAAGCCACAGCTTCTGAAGTTGCCGTGGAAGACCAACAGCAAGAGTAACAACCCCCGCCAGAAGAATGAGAAACGGAATATCGATGGCGAGAAGACTGGTGGGGAATTTGCTGGTGGGACGATTGGTGGTATCAGCGGTCACGAGATTGGTCGGCATGGAACTACAACAGGCCTCTCCCCACATAACGATCGAGAGACTACTCAGCCCTTCCTCAATCTCAGGGTCTGGAGCACATGGAAACGCACGTGGGCAACCTGAATTCATGGACCCGTCGAACGGGATGTCAACCAGATATGCAGGCTGCAAAAGTTCGCGAGGGATTTCCAGTTGAGCTGCAAGGGGGTTTTAAGGGTATCAGAGATTCTCTCGGGTCCGAGGAGGGAATTGACAGGCCGGTAGTTCACTTCAGACTTCTCAGCGGAAACAGACCTCAGATCAAGCAGGGAAAACTCTTAACGAGTTCGTGGTTCGTCGAGATGCGCAGCTCGCGCAGGCTGAGGCCTACGGTCTGCACCTGCCCGACGCAGCGCGAGCGCGGTACTGCGAAGAAGGATCTCAGCTGACAGGTCAGATGAAGGTGAACTTACGGACGCTCATGGGATCCGACAGGCCAGCGGCGGCAGTGAGACAATCCTTCTTCAGCTAGACGTGGCCGACAAGGCGGCGCTGCCGAAGGCCCCGAGCGCGGTGGTCTCGGGGCGGAGCTGCGCAGACGCGGAGACGCCTGGGGGCGACGACCAGGGCAGCACCAACATTTTCGAAGTCGATTCTCAGAGGATGAGGCCGAAGATTTTCCCACCACCCTCACGGCGCAGGACCTGTGCGAGGATGGTGGTTTTCAAGTCTTCGCAGAGCTGGCTGAAAAGCAACGGAAGAGGACCTGGAATGAGTTTCGACAGCTAAAGGCGGCCCGAAAGGTAGATCGAGTCTGCGATCGCAGGCGCTCGACACCATCAGGATATAACCCAATGCGCATCAGCAAAGACGATCTGACAAGGAGAACGCGCTGCACAAATTCTGGACAGAAGGGGCACTGGCGAGAGGACTGCGAGCGTGCATATCGTTCGACGGCGGACCGACTTAAGGCCGAGGGAACATCTTCAGGCTCGGCTAAGGGGTCGAGCCCGCCAGCTCAAGCCCGACCGACTCCTCAACTTCAACGACGGCTATTTTTTTCGCTGGGCGAGGTCGACTCCCCCACCCAGCCCATTTTTGTTGGAGTACGTCGCCGAAGTCACGGAGTGCTTTGCAGGCATCCAGCTCGGAGACATGGGGGGCCGTGCGTTGGCGGGCACCGCGGCGGCCCAGTCGCCGATCGGGGAACCAGACTTGAAGAATCTCCAGCAGGCATTTGAGGAGAAAGGTTTTTGGGCGCGCGTCAAATACGAGAGCGAGCTGCCCTGCGCGAGCGGAGTTGGAGGCAGAGGCAGGCCGATAGCGAACGCAGCTGTTCCATTGTCTTGGATCCGTTACGGGGCGCTGGAGTTCCGGCTTTTTCCGCGCTCCTGCCCCCCCCCCCCCCCCCCCCCCCCCTGATCCCGACCGGCTTCGCGATGTTCCAGTCTCCGTCGGCCCGTCGACCGGGCGCCGCGCCGCCCGCTGCAAGTTCCGGGGCGCCAGCGATCACTGGGTGGAGTACTACTTCGAGGACGACTGGATGCATGGGCCGGAGGTTTTGAGGACGCACGACTGCTGGATCGGGCTCTCCGACTTCTACTTGGAGAAGCTCAGGAGCTCCGCCGCCTGGGCCAAGCGTCTCTCGCGTTTCATTGTATATTCTCTATTTTCTCTCGATCGAGGCATCAGGCGGGGCGTCTCAGGGGGTCAGTCCAGTCACGGCATGGGGCCTGCTCTTTCCGTAGTCTCTTGCCTCAAGTCTGTGATGGTTTCGCCGGGGACTTTTCTCGATGTTGAAGAAACCCGGAAACGGGGTGACGTCTCCTGCAGCTCTTTCGCGGCGCAGGCCGGTCAGTGTCTTAGCCGGGGCCCGCTGCCGCACGAGGCAGGCCGCTCTTCATCTCGCGTGGGCGAGATTACGGCAGTCGAGGAGGAGGATCCGGATCTAGAGGCGAATTATTTGGGACATGCCGTCGGACCATTGGGCAGACGGAACGCCACGATATCAAGAAGGCGTTGCCGAGCGAGGGTGGCTACCTGCTGACGCCGATGGCACATCGGTGGAGGCGCTGGACCGAGACGCTGCTCCTCGTGCTGAAGGCGTGCTCAGAGTCTCGCCAGCTCGCAGCGCTGGCCCCGAGTCTGGGGGGCAGCACCGTGCCAGGAGTCAAGGAAGAGGACTACGATCACCCTCCGAGCTCCCGCACCAGCCACGGGAACCAGTATGCCCGCGGGGGTCAAGTTCCGCAAGTGCGGGGCCAGACTGCACGCGTGCAAGCTGACTCCCGAGGAGACAAGGCGCACGAAGGCCGAGAGGCTGGCAGCCAAGCAGGGGCATGTCAAGGCAGAAGAGGGGCGCCAGGAGATCCAGATGGCCATTCGGGTGAGGAGCTGCGACTACGACCAGAACGAGATGGCGGCTCTCTCCGAGGGCATCGAGCAGCCAGCCACAAGTCAGTCTGCTCGGTCCTCCCTTCCCCCGGCCGAGGCTGAGCCGTCTGCCGAGGCTGAACCGTCTTCCGACCCATCTGTCATAGATGAGGGGCGTGACACCAGGAGGCCTGAAGAGGCCAGAAAGCTTCCCGGGGGAATCGGCCAGGTCTTTCCAAGGGACACGCCGGACGAACTTCACGAGCTCCACTTGAACCTGGGACACCCGAGGGTGGGAACATTTCATCATGACCTTGTGGGTCGGAAAGGCCAAGCCAGAGGTCATCCGGAGGGCCACGCAGAGTTTCGAGTGTCCGAGCTGCGAGTCCGGCTCGAGATCTGGACGGCGCCGAAGGGCGCATCTTCCGAGGACCTACCGCGTCGATGAGCTGGTCGCCGCTGATCTCTTCTACTATATTGGCGCCCCGGAGGGAACTCACCGAGTTCTCAATTTAATAGATCGCGGCTCCAACCTTCAGGTTGCACTCTGTGGAAAGCCGCCACCTCGGAAGAGGTCTGTGGGGCGTTCCAGATGTTTTGGGCGAGACCCTGATGACTGATGGGGGCATGAGTTCGATGGGGGGATTTCTCGAGGGGGTTTGGAGCATCTGGGGTTTGGTCGTCGCGCCAGCATTGCTGACGCGTCAGCGATGCTGAATTCCCTGGCAGGACAGGATGCCAGTGACACGGAGGCCTCGCAAAACAAATGTTTTGGCCCGGGCTGCGAAAGGCGCAGCCCCCACCTCCCTGGAAGGCCAAGAGCCGCTATTCACGCCGGGGGGGGGGGGTCGCCTTGTCATATGGTCTTTAGAGAGAACCCAAGACTACCAAGGTCGCTGATTTCCGACGAGGTCATGGACGAGGTTTGGATAGGAGACGTCATCAGGGGGACCATGGACTCCAACTCGCCCGCTTCAGCTTTTGCCAGGAAGCACGCGTTGAGAGAATGGGCCAAGAAGGGCGCGATGGAGATGGGCACCCGGGATGCCCTAAAACACGTGGATAGGATTTTCGCTCCCGGAGCGCGGGTTCACGCGTGGGGGCAGGCCGGGGGTCCCGGGGCCGCGGCAGGGGGGTTCCCAGGAGCCAGAAGAGTAGGTGGACTCGTCCAGGGCCGTGGTTTTTTCTGCAGGGTACGACCGTATGGGTCGCCATGAGATCTCGCCTTTGCAGTCAGGAACAGATCCGGTGGGCCACCGAGGAAGATGCTTGGGGCGCTGAGCTTCTCGACTCTCCGTCTTTCTCACAGCTCGGGCAGGAGCTGCAGAATCCCAGACGTCGCGTCGGGGCGGTGGACGTCGAAGCAGAGGGCCCCTCTCCCCCTCAGGCTTGGGATATGGAGGAACCCGCCCAGGAGGAAGGGGGGCCAATTTCATGTCCGACTCCTGTTCGCGAGCAAGAGCCCCCCGTGCCCGACGAGGTCGGGAGGTCGAGTGCAGTGCCCCCGCATGAAGATCGAGTTTCCACGGCTCACCCACTATCCATCTCTAGCGGTAGTATGTCTCCCGGGATGAGATTTGTCAGATCTGGGGACGAGGGGGGTTCTAAGGGTCCATGACGTGCTTGAGGATTTCGATCCTTCCGAGCCTCCGCTGGCTCAGAGGCCTAGACTGACCCCGATAGAGAGGCCCCGGAGGGTCCTGGGAGGGTCCAAGATACGCTTGCTGAGAGGGAGGTGATGGCCGCCAGGTCTAGGCTGCTGGATAACGCGCCGTTCTGCATCCGTAGCAGGTGCAACGCTTCCGCGCCAGACAGCATAGGTCGAGCCCAAGCTGCAGCGCTGGAGCGTGCTGACGTTGCCGGGCCAGCCAGGGATGGCTCTCGCTCGCCCCGCCGCGAGGCTCCAGAGGACCAGGATGGCGAGCTGTTAACCTGGCACTCTGAAACACCTGGGGATGCTCAGCACTAGCTTCTCTGTGGAGAACTCTTGCTCCTGGTTGCACTTCGACGATTTTTGGGCCCCTCGGGCCGAAGGCGTTTTCTTGGACGCCGCGGGTAAGGAAAATGGGGAAAGGACCGTCATCGCGTCGGGGGGCCGAAGTTACTTTGAAGTCTCTCCCTGAGGAAGAGAGACAGCTTTTTTATTTCAGGCCACTCTAGAGTCAGGCGCCGTGAGGGTAGTGAGTGCTGCCGAGGCAGCGCTAGTGGGAAGGGGGCTTCCAGTCAGGATTTGGGGATCCCGAGTGGTGAGGAGGTTCCAGCTATCAGGGGTGGGGCCCTGGGTCGCTGCGAAATCCGGGTGGTGCGTTCAGGGGCACCGCGATCCGGACCACGAGGATCTCCAAGTTCACTCCCCAGCCCCCCAGTCCGAGAGCATCATGGTGACTCTCCAAGCCATATGCTCACTCGGATGGGACCTCCAGATAGCAGATTGCAAGAATGCGTTCTGTTAGTCCGACCGCAGGCCTCGACTCAAGCGGTTTATTCTCTGCGAGCCCTGCCAGGGGCTGAGCCTCGCCCCAGGGGAGTTCATCGAACTGATTGCACCGGTCTATGGTTTGAACGATGCCCCGCTTCTCTGGCACCGAACGCTGACGCAGCGGCGAGTTCAAGATGGTCTTGCGAAGCCTCTTTTGGAACCCTGCTTGTGGATCACGAGGTCCAATCAAGGGGGCATTCGTGCTTTGACCCTGATCGAGGTGGGCGATCTCATCGTCGCGGCTGCTCCGGATGAAAAGGATGGGCTCCGTGACACGTGACCGCTCGCAGTCGCGATTCCGCAGTGGAAAGTGGGAGACCGGGGAAGCCGATTTAGCAGGCCGACACATGCGACATATTGCGGGGATGATGCTCGTTCATCAAGAATAGGATGTATTAGAACAAGTGACCCCCATGAGACTCGCTCAGGAACGGCGAGCTGAACCCGATGTGCTACTGGATGCTGAGGAGATCAGACACCATAGGAGTATGATAGCACAGATCCACTGGCTCGGACGTGAGAGTCGACCTGCTGTTGCCGCGGTTGCGTCTTTACAAAGCGCCGCCCTTCCTTCCCCAACCGTTGCTGATGCTATGCTATGCCTAAAGATCGTCCTACATCTTCAAAGCACGGCCAGTGAGAGAATCGTTTTCTGGCCCCTCGACACCGCTCGCGTGACTTTTGCGGCCGTTTCGGATGCTGGAGGCCCCGGCTCGGCACGAGGGAATGGCGCTCACGGAAGGTGGATGGTTTCGCCGCCGGTGCTGCGATCAGGCAGAACAAGCGTGCTCGAGTTCTTGTCTCCAGCTGGCGCTTAACTCGACTGGAGCGTGCGATGGCCTCAACAGGAGTGGCCGAGACCTTGTCTCTCTCGGCGGCGTTGGCCGAGGATCAGTGGATAGCCATTATGTGGCGCGGCGCCCTGTTTGGTGACGTGCGCCGACCAGACTGGCATCTGTCACAGGCCCTTCTCTCAGTTGTGATGAGCAAAGACTGTGCTCTCTCTCTCAGAGGGAGTATCATCCCTCCCCGTTGTCGATGCGAAGTCGATATTTTATACGTTGTCTCGCAACTATGCCGGGGGTCGTGCCGATCGTCCTAATGCCATCGAACTGGCGGTCGTGCGCGACAGTTTGAGCACTTTTGGATCGCAGATAAGATGTGTTCCGCACGGAAGAATGTTTGCGGCAGTCTCATTAAGGCGGACCCCTCGCGAGGCAACCTCGCGCTGTGTGGTCTGTTGACTAAGGGGGCCATGGAGTTGGTAGACGAGGATGGGCACATGTTGGAGAGGTCCTCAAATGATTCATTTTAGTCCCGTTCCAGGAAACCTTCCAAGGATGCCCTGCTTCCTGCTCAAGAAATCGACAGGCGCCCAGAGGCCCAGGACGGGGAGAGCATCATCTCAAATGTGGATATGCCAGACCCACTGAAAGTGGTTCCGCTAATGTCGTGTCCCACTCCTCCTTCATCTCTGTGCCTGCCGTAGCTTTTCTGGCTTTGCGTCCGAGACCGGGCGATGACAGGGGCCCAGGCTTCTCCGAGGGCGCTCGCGAGGATAAGCAATCGCCCGCCTCTCGTCCAGGGTCCAGTTTCAATACCCAGCACAGAGAACTCGAACAGACCCGAGGACGCGTTCCTGGGGCACGGTGGCAGACAGTGAAGCCGCCCACGGTCCGATGGTTCCCGATCCGATCCCCGCACTTCGATTCCGATCTAGACGCGATCCGATCTGGCACGAGACGATTTCCTCTCCGGCCTGGCCTTCGGGGGCGGAGCCTCGATCCGCGATCGCAAACGATCCAATCCCGATCCGACTCCGCGCCGATTCACGCGCGGCCCGGTCCGCTTTCGATTCGATTCAACGTGGCGATTCGATCCGGCCCGGGCTCGATAGTTGGCGCCCTTCTGCAAGGGGGGGGAACCGACCAGCTCTGAGAAGGAAAATCGTGACGGTCGCTACCCGGGCTCAACACCCCTTCCTTTTTGATGGTCTCGGCTGTGCGTTGGGGGGGAGCTGGACAGCTTGGCGGACCAATCGCAGCGTATCGGCACCAATTCCAATCGACCGGGCCAACTCGACCAGCTGGACAACCGACTGTTAGCAGTTACGGTCAGCTTGATTAAGCCATAAGAAGCCGTATCGTCGGATTGGTCGAGCGTTCGAGAGAAATCCAAAAACCACATGCATTTCGTAAGTTTAACAGGCGTGCTGCTGGGAGACAACTTGAGAGCCACAGCTGGGGTTGGTAATGCCTAAAATTTGTTGAACGTATGGCTATACATGTCCCGCCCTCCCCATCCCCAGATCCCGAATGCCATTACTTTTCCGCTGACTGGTCATTGTTTTAAACAGCCCCCCGTGGAAATATTCGACGGACAAAGAGAGATACTATAGTCATCCAGGCAGTACTTGCACGTAGGGGATCCTATTTGTTACTAAGGACCTGGGCCGCCTGTCTGTCGGGCTGGCGGCTATGTTGCCGCCGTCGCCGCCCTGTCATCGCCTCGTCGCCGCCCGTTGTCTGGGCATGTCTGTCTGTCGCCGCGCATGTTGACGCCGTTGCCGCTCAACATAGATGCTTTCGCGTGCACTTGAAAACGCGTTTCACTTTCTACGAGTGCCGATGCATAGGCGGCGTTGGTCGACTAGTCGGGATGGTTCGTCTTATTTGGACACACTGCTCCTTCGTTCCCAGTCGCGGTGCGAAGGCTCGTTCTGTCACGATGGTGCCTCTGGTCCCTCTTCGGGCTCCCCTCAGAGGTTTCGGATGCCCCTCAGAAGTGCGAGGGCTTGACCACTTGGAGTTTGGGAAATCTTGGGGCCTTGTATAGAGGTGCGTTGAAGGGTATCTTGAGACATGCCTTCTCGGAAATCATCTCGGGCTACTGGAGGTTCTTCTGGAAACCTCCTGAGCCATCTTGGAGACGCTCTCACGACTCGCGGCCACCGAGGGGCGAACCATGTGAGAAACAATTGCGCATGACCACATCAATTTCGAACATTGGTGTGTGACATCAGTTGTGTCACGCGCATGTTAGGCCTCCGTCTAGTGTGATGTGTGTGTGTGCCCCTGGCGGGACAGGCTGGCGAGCATGCATGTTGTGATTCCCTTGCGCACAAAGAGCGCCGTACAGATCATGCCATGTACACCGCAGAGCATTGGCTCACACCCAATCGCTCCTAAACTCATTCGCTGTCTGACCTCCGCGTTCGCGAGGCAGGTTCTCGACAGGCACCTCTCTACTGAAGAGGCGGCGGCAGGCGGCGGCGGCCGACCCAGGAACCAGGCATGCACATGTCAGGAGGGAAACCAAAACACTGACACAATTAATCGTCGATCCCGCAGACAATATCAGAAAATATGGGAAGGGGGTGAAGACAATTACGCTACCGAAGAACCCCGCACACTTAATTCAACTATGATGTGCTTGCTTATGTTTTTAATATATGCGCAATCCTGCGTTCTGAGCCCTCGTCGCGAATGTTTCCCTATGTGTCATTCAGC